CAACCGGTCACGGTCAGTAAAAATGGACGTTAAAATGATCCTTTTTTTCACTATGTCGGAAAAACTTAACGTTTAAACGCCAAGTTTCTTGAAACAATTTGACATTAATAATTTCCGACCGTTTCTGACTGCCAGTCGGGAACCTCGATTGACAACCGGTCACGGTCAGTAAAAATGGACGCTAAAACGATCCTTTTCTTCGCTACGTCCGAAAAACTCAACGTTTAAATGGTATATTTCTTGAAATCATTTCACATTAGCAATTTTCTATCATTTCTGACTCACAATCGGGAACCGCGATTCGCAACGTATCACGTCCAGACAAACTGAACGTCAAGGTGATTCTTATTCCACTACGCTGTAAATCTCTAACATTTAAATGGTTCATTTCCAAAAACAGTTAAGATTTAGTTTTAGTTCCTATTTTACACTTATAGTCGGGACCGCAATGGAGAATAGATCATGATCAGAAAAAATGGACGTTAGCATTATACCTTTTAAACTAAGCTGAGACTCTTTAATGTTTAAACCCTCTTCTCTTCAGAACCGGTTCACATTCACTATTTCTTATTGACTTCAGCTCATAGTTGGTAGCCGTGAATATCAGTCGCAATTAGCTGCCTTTCTACATTGTTAAGACGTAAACAAGAGTACTTTCTAAGACGTTTTAAGGCGGAAGAGATCTATGCGTACGACCATGCATGAATTCAACTGCCTCAAGCTCATTAAACATAGGATACTGCACATCACGAAATGAAGCGAAACTAACTGAATGTTACAATGCTCAAGAGTGACGCTTGAAATCGAAATAGACGTTTCAAATATTTTGCAGAATACAACTCAATTCGAAAAATAGAAGGGAGATCCTGTGTGACATATGAAATTCTACTCAAAAACGGGAGCTCAGAACAGTTGCATCAAGTGTACCTCTGAGGTCCGTCATGACTCATGTTGTAAAGACATATCCGACGGTAGGATACAGGAAAAAACTATGGAACGATAGCATTTTACAAGAATCGAATGAGAACAAAAGAGAAAAGATTTCTTACAGGCTGATTCTGCTTACGATTCCACCTAAGCTTCAAACATCTGAATGTGACTTATATAACCAGGCAACAGTACGAACATTCATCGACTTCTTCATACGGGTAGTGCAAGTATAACTTACTCAAAAAGGACGGGAGATTTTCACATGAAAACTCACCGTCATCTGTAACAGGAGATGTCAAACGAATCATTAGACGAATTTTGTCTATTATAACCTCAATATTCCAACAGGGTACAACTGATTGCAGAAAATAAATATCAGATGAGGTAAAAAATAACTTTAATGAATAGAACTTAGGTTTTTCAGATTAATACATGCAGTGCCATCTACGGAACTTGAGAGCAGAATAAAAGGATAATAACGAATTGAAAAATCAAAAAACAACTCACCATTACTTGTTTTCCAAAATCCACTTGAATTGTACATATAATTTTGAATTTCTATTCACATTTTTGAGTTCAACACAACATTAAGATTAATATCAATGCAACCTAGAACGACACATAACAATGAAAATCAGCACTCATTCGTATGCAATTGAACTCACCATTATTTATCCGACAACAAGAACCAAAGACAACCAACATGAAATCTCTTTGCAACTAATACCAATAAACCAAACTTGTACAGCTGTACTCCACTAATTAAACCTAATCAAGAAATATATGATTTTATTTATGAAACTCAATCAAACCCACCCTTTCTGATTCAGACACACTAATCTAAAATAAGAGATATTAACATTGTTTTCAATTAATTCATGTATATCAAACTCACCATGATTCATTCTGTAGCAAAAGACTGAAAAACAAACGTCATGAATAATGGTACTCATTAATTGTTTGGAACTAAAATCATCATTATTTCTTTTATCATCTGAAGCTGAAACAAGAGACACACATATAAAATCTAACAACTAAGTTTAAATTTAACTTACCAGTTTTTTTCTTCCTTTCTCACATGAATCTAAAACAACAGAAATCACTGCTTTCTCTTCTTAGTAAGATTATATCGAACTCACCATTATCTTCATACCACAACAACCTAAAAAAGAGATATGAACAATGTTTTCTTTTCTCTTAATTAACAAGTAACGCGACGCATACGTCGCTAACCCTCTACTGAAAGGATGTGATTTCCTTGAACATATGGTACTCACGAAGAAGAAGATCACAGAACTAATATGCTGCTATGCATCTATAAAAAGATAAATAGTTCTCGTCACCATGACTCGCTTGCTAATTGATTGGGTTTGATTTAACCAT